CATTCGACTGTTTTAGAGCATTTTTGAGTGGTGTCTAATAAAGATCATTACACAACCATGCCGGTCTTGTTTAGACTTATCATTGGTGAGTATTATTTTTGTATTACCGGCAAATCCCTAGGATGGGAGCAGACACTCTCACCCCTCCCCTTGATGTGAAGAATGGAAGAATCTTTAGATCTTAACACATGAATATACTACTAAAACATAATGCAAAAACAGTCGTTGAACCTTGAATTATATATTTTCTATAAAGGCTCCCAGAGGGAATAGAGAAATAAAGAATCTTCGCAGTAGTGGCACTGTTTGAATTCAGAAATTCCCGATCAATATAGGTTTGCCACCCGAAATTGAACAATCAAATGAAATTATTTAAGTAAAATGTGGATTGTTGTTTTTGAACATTTCGATTTGTTATGCAAATATGAAATTAAACTAATTTTCATTGATGACGTTTTATAGCATAGGAGAATATCTCCCCGATAGATAATTGGGTCATACACAAATCGCCTTAAACGTAAACTGAATGGAGAAAATTTATTTGCATCTGTTTTAAAAGTGCTGACAAGTGTTTTTAGTCGTGCATATTTAACAACCCGAATGGGACTCGACCCTCAGAATTCACAAACAAACCGTTGGAAAAATGTAGATGAACTATTTTATTTCCAGTTCAGTAGCTATCTTATACGTAACCAGTAATGCACATGAAGGCTTGGATTCAAGCCTCAAACGCTCAGTTATCACTTCGGAACCATCAAAACAGGTGATCGCGGTGGACATTGGGAAGAGTGGTCTGGCCTGATGGTACCAAATCGTGACGCTCTGGTTGCTCTGGATTTCGCAAACGTTCCAACCAACGCAAGGAGTGTAAATATGGACACGCAAGAGGCCAAATTGGAAAATGCACTACAGTCCACGAACACAGTGCTACGATTACACAATCTATTCATCACACCTTGGGAATCGGATTGCCAGTTTGAGATACCAGTGACTGGTAATTTGGCACTGCTTGGGGGATTAATAAATGAAACTAAGGTGAGTTAAGTTCATATTTTTTGCCGGAAGATAATTCGTCCTAGACCCTCACCAATTTGTGGATAGCCCTTCTGTTTTTCATACATTCATCAGTTGCTTTCATCAAGAATCCGAAAATTCCAGTTCAATATACGCGACGTTACGACTAACTGATAGAACTGAGCTCTAGATGAAAGCTGAACGAGAAATGAGCAAGGACCGATACTCGCAACAAGCTCGCAAAGATGGGTTGTGTTGTAGTGCGTATGAGGAAAATGAGAAACGGTCTGACCAGCTAGCTGCCCGATGACCGAGTAGGTAGTATGCTTGCGTTCTACCTGTATGGTGTCAAGGGTTCGCGGTCCTCAGTTGGATCGATGAGTTCATACTACTCAGATGAAACCCAACCAGATCGAAACAGCTGTACAGTGCTTCCGGTTGCATACGTACCTGTGGCCTAAGTGCGTACATTCTACCACTCTGCGCATCGTTAATTCGTTCGTTCCACCATTGTTATCGATTGATACCTATTCAGCTCGATCAACCTCACGCGCTTGTCCATACGAATACTGCCGGCCGACATGGGCCCGATGCTGATTAGCTGTTAGCTCAATTGCTGCTTTATTGATCATACACTTTACACGATTGATTATGAATGAATCCTAGTAAACCCGTCCCACCCGGCGTGCGGTTGTTCTACTTTACTAGCCAGCTACGGGTCCGAGACTACACAGTTTGAAATATAAACGTAACACTTTCTAGCCTTCCAACTCATGCCCCATTTACACAAAGAATTCATCATTTGAAGGAAGCGAATAAGTAGATAACACACAGCTTGGAGGTTTCGCGACTAGACAGCATCCAAATTTCGACTATCTGATCACAATCCAACAAGGTCTCTAGAGAGAAAAAATCCTCAAGCTGAACAGATGGAACTTGGGATTGATAGCTTTCTGACGCACAAAAAACTGCAGCCTGAGTCCTGTGTATCTGTTTGTCAAATTTATTGAGAAGAAAAAGTAATGACTTCTTTTCACCACATAATCTGAATGCGACAAAAAGTTAGGATAAGCACATGAAAACCGGGTGGATGCATTGGACATGGGAGACACAGATACTTAAGAAACTTATTTTTTTGTGGGGACACAACGACTGTGAATGCTGGAATACCCGCTGCTTCCACTGTGGTCGGGATACGCTGTTTATTCCGCTTAGATAGAGCATTACCACGGATATCAAAGTTGGGAAGAAGTCAACTTCCTCGCAGTTTAATACCGGCGCATACTGGTTCAAGTGATATCAAGGATCGTCCCATGAGATCACCAGCACACATTTTCCATAAGATAGGNTGTAACGATCAATACATGTTTTCAGTGATTAGTTTTCTCAGCCAAATACATCAAAATCTTCGTCACATATGGACTGCATACTAAACCGAAAACCGGAGATATTATCTATTTTCCAAGTTTATTTTTTGCACATCTGTGGTGATCCTGGCCTATGAGATGACGCACACCACGGAGCGACACGTTATAGTTTGCGGACAACTGTGATCAATCAAGCTTCACAGGTGACGTCAGCAAAGCGCGTACGTGTCACAGCCACTAGACTACCAACTATAGGTTGATTGTACCAACCAGTCAGAAACCGTGCGGCTCCGATAGAAGCTGAATAACACCAAAAATACTATAACGCGATTGGCAGAGGCTTGGATGATCAATGAATTTGTTTTATACACATTATTTAGACCCCCTGATTTCTTCCAATAAACGAACTGCTATTACTGTGGCCTTTTCCTGGAGTCTCGGTTACGTGAAATACTGTTGTGCAAGTACCGTGCTTACGTGACGTCCGTGATTGATAATCTGTGATTCGTATTTTGTGATTCGTATTTCGTGATCAGTGCGTACTACAATTACTACAATTACTACAGCATCCTATCACCGGTCTCACCTATACCCGAGTTACGTAAATTGTAATATACTAGAAAGAGAAGACATAACATTGAAAACAGGTCTGCATTGCTACATTGTATCCCTTTTAATATGTGTTTACGGTCGAACAGGTCAATCCCATGCATCACTTCAACCGATGAGTCCTCATAAAACTGCAAAAACATGTGGAGCGACGTCTTCCCAACTTTGATCTCCGAGTAAATGGTTCTCACTGTACAGAATCATAACCGTGGAGACTAGTGCTGAAATGCGCAAGAGGTGATGCCTGCATTAAGCTCGCAAAGTCTGGTCAGGTGCTCGGTGGTAGAGTGGTTAGTATGGCTGCGTTATGAGGTCCTGGGTTCGATCCCGTGAGGAGTCGATGAATTTGTACTGCTTATAATGATACCCAACCAAATAAAAGCGGCTGTTCAGTGATTTCTTGATTTCTAATTCAAGTTTCATTTGCTCCTCGCATGACAAAATTCATCATACGAAAGTTACATTATAGTGAACACCGGTGAGCTTAAGGAACAGGTGTATCAATCACACATCAATTCCGTCCGCGTACTGGATACACAATCAATCGCCGATAGTTGATTTAGGATGAATGTTTCAGAATTTAGCCCCGACGAACTTCGGTTTCGGTTGGATATTATGGTAACAGTGTTATAATTCCAGAAGACCGGTACTAACTTGAGCAACCCTCTGTATTACGAATTACCATAGTTAGGGTATGGATAATTTGGCGTACATATATAACAAGATATCTCATTTTGAACATATCCTCAAAATTCCCAGCATTACACAAGATAATGAATGTAACAGTCCTTAGTTATCATTTCTAACACAGCAATTCGCTCTCAGAGGTCTTGCTCATTTTTGACCGTTGAAAGAAGCGGCTGATCGCACCATTTTGTGTACTACTCACAAACTACTACTCACAACAACAGCACTGTTTTATTGACAAATCTGTCCAATAAACCTCCAGAGATCATTTTATGCACAAACATACAGAATTGGTTTTGAGATATTTATATGAATGCCTAACATTACACGATCATTTGATACACAAACGGTCAGAAATATTCAATCAGTTCACTGATGACCTGACTTGTTGTGGTGAGAGCATTGTTCAAAGTCGCGAATTTGGTTCACAAAGCTGAACGCACTTCTGTACTTCACTTCTCCATTCCAACACCAATGTGTTTCCTTAATCCAGCCAGATGATAATAAAGCGAGTTGAACATATGTGAAATCGTTCTTGATAGAATTACCTATTTTGTCCCCTGATACTTTTGAAAGTGAGTACATGGTATGATAACTTTCATCTTAAGACAAATCTGGCACACCTTCCGTTTGAACCGCCTCTTTTTTTCCTTTGTTTCAAAGGGATCCGGGCTGATCGATCTCTTGCCATGCTTACTACATATTCTGTATGAAAAATAAATTGATCTGCAACACTTGTTCATCGGCGTGATTCTGTCAAGTTCCTCAAGCCAGAAACATGTGACTTGTGACGGGTTTATAGTCAAAGATTCCGGTTAGTCAAAGCCTGAAGCGTAAAGCAGAGGAACGGTGTACAAAAACCGTAGTTTAGTTATAACACCGAAGTTTTACGATTCCGCTGTTACGCAAATGAGACGGGGTTCATATGCTAGTACAACCAAAAATCCATTTAGACCAATCTAATCGATATCGGACTATCCAAAGGTAAGTTCCTTTGTCTCTTTTTTAGAATCTTCCAGTATACTGTTCGTGATTTATCAGATAGCCTCGCCTTTGGTCCCTTCATTGTTTCGAATACAGCCTCATCAGGATAAGGTTTTGAATGGAATTTATCTCTGAAATGCCCCAAATGGTGAAATTTGTGAGCACACCTCCTGGAAGCGGTACGAAATGTGATCAAATCTCGGATGCACAGTGGCTTTTACGTTTGGTAACTTCATAAGTCTAACCTAACCGATCTCCTGGGATTAAAGTGATAAAGGGCAGGCCAGACAGATACCATGAAACAAGATTTCCTGTTGGAACCGAACGGGTTTTTTAACGTAACTGGTTTAGGTTTTCGGGCCTCTGGTGGTTATTTCTTAATCGATACCTTGAACGCTTAAACTACTGAAAACATCTCGTCTATTCAAAAACCTAGACGCTAGGGATATTTATACGCTAGCATGCGCAACATATGTGTGAACATTTTCACAGTGTTCTTTTTATATAGTTTTTATCCCACCCATTCAGAATATTTTACAAGCCTGATATTTTTGTGGTTGGGAAGAGCTTTACAATCCATGTGAAGTGACATGGTCCACGACAGTTCAGTTCCCTTTATCTCTCTCTCTTCTTATTCACAAATCACATTGATGTTCGTCACCGTATAAGGGAGGGGCTTACTGAGGTATGGAAGAATCAGTTCATTGACATACCACCGAAATACCGTCGGGTGCTTTGACCTGAGAATACCAACAACGTATTTTCACACTACCTACTTACGAGTAGTCAAAAAAATAAGTACGCCAAATCCTTAACAAAGGAAGCTGGACGATAAGGTCTGCATTTCCTCATGTACATTCCAACCGTAATAGGCTTAATCAGTCATACGAATATTCTGACCGAGTTGTGAATATAACCCAGGATTTCAGGCGTAAAACTTAAACATATTCCAGTGTTACTTCTTATATTCAAAAAAGCTAATCACGCTTGACATCTTTTGTTCTTATCTTTCAGGAAGCTATAACTTTAACAGGTGGTCTGACACCTCGAATACCTTTGCGACGTGATCAACAGTGAGTCTTTGAAAAAATGTCCTCCTTCCCTTGACTCAACTAAGGTTATGGGAACACGTGATTTATTCGGCTATATATGGAAGCATAAATATGATGCAGTGTTATTCATACAACTTTGAGGATTGAAAATTAGACTTATCCATGGAGTTGAAGAGGAAGGATTAACGATACTAACGACAATTATCATAAGGCAAAATATAGGCGGAAACTGGTGGTGCTTGTTTACAGACACAGGTTTGTGGAACGATGGGGACTTAAGATTCCTCGGTTTGACGTTTACATTCAGTTTCCTGACAGTGGATTTGAAGGGCCAAAACGGTCTGCTCGACCCTTAGACTTCATGATGATGTAGGTCGCATGGGTATTCTATACTGGAGAGAACGTAGTGTAAAACATTGTAAAACGAAGCGTTTTCACAACCAAATACGCTTAAACACAACTATTCACCCGTTATTTTCGAGTATAATATGAACAAAGTTTCCCTTAACTCAATTTATTCGATCTTTTTGTCACACGTTCCCCCGGCCCCATAGATACGAACTAGATTTTCGAATGGTTACCAATTCCCAATCTCCGAACGCGCAACTTTGCGTGCGAATTTTCAACACCACAATCAGTAATGGTCAGCTGGATAAATCCACACCGGAATATCAACGTCTTTCAATCTCCGTTCCGTTCGCCCAGGAGCGACAGGTGAGTTTAACTTGTTTACAGCTCTGACCTATATTTTATTGATGTTCTGTTACCAATTAATGAATAGATGAATTTTGGAGTACAAAGTACTGGTCTGGAACGGAAATTTCTTTCGGTGCTAAACGGTCTGCTTCACCCGTTTCATGGGATATCTGGCGATATTGATCGATAGCCTTGTCTCGTGTGAGCAATAATGTATATGTGAAAGGGAGAGAGAGTTCAATGGTTGCTGTAAAACTGGTTTTCTTGAGCCCTATCTGTGTTTTGACAAAGTTTGGTGATTTTTTATGGAATAAGGTTGGGCTGATGATGAACTTATTTAGCATATGATTTCCAAGAGTTAGCCAGATAAAGTAGCAGCGACTTAAATACATCCGGGATACCAAAACTGCCCCTTCTGCCATCCACCAAAGTGCACTGTATCGAATTCACGATTTGCCGCCTGGTTCAGAACGCTGACTGATACTGAAATAAAAGTATAAAGTGACTGGCTTTCCCCCGTTGTGAATGTATATAACACCAACGACTAATACAACATTGGATGAACAGCAATTAAAGCCTACCATGTACCCTATAACCGTGTGAGTCTTGGTACGGTAAACAGAATTTATGGCTTCAAAACTATGGATCATTGGTCAACTACATCTTTTCCCACCCAGCTTCAGCTAAAACTCGCAGTCCCGTAGCCTTGACCCGTAATCCCTTTGCCAAAACTCAAAGTGCATTAGCCGTAACCCGTGTCTGATGGTTGGACAATAAGGGCACATCGTTCAAACCTTCTCCAATATGTGGTGCAGCGTGTCACCGCCGCAGCTTGGCATTTCTTAGCCAAACTTTGCACCATTTACATTTATAGAAAATTATTTTTTCTACATTCGTTAATCTCAGAATATCCTGACACGTTTTTATCTGACTAGCTGTGGCGATCCTAGATAAGGAGCTGACGTAAATGTCGGGGGGACACGTTACCGTTTCCGGACAACCTAGGTGCATCAAACTTCCCAGGTGCCTCTAGCAAAGCGCTTAAGCGTTACAGTTTCTAGACTACGAACGATAAACCGATTGTACTGACCAATCAGAAGCTGTGCGGCCCAGACAGAAGGTGTATGACATCAGAAATGTAAACACGCGATTGGCAAAGGCTTGGATGACCAGTCCACTTCTTTTATACATATTATTTACCCACCCAACCCCCGATTTCCTTCAAAAAACGAACTGCTATTCCTGTGGCCGTTTCCTCGCGTCTCGATTACCTGGGATACTGCCGTGGTAGTACTGGTGTGATTCAGTGCTTCCGTGGCGTCCGTGATTTGTTATACGTGATTCGTATTTCGTGATCAGTGCGTACAACAAACATTACACTAGCCCACAGCGGTATGATTAAAGTTTGTGCGTTTAGACTAAAAGACCACGGATCATGACTAAAGCAATGTCGGTTTATCTGAGTGATTGTGGGTCAAGGTCAGAAGATTGTGAGTCGAAGCCAAAGGACTGTGGGTTGTGGCTAAATTTTGATGGAAAAAAGATGTAGACCTCTGTGAAATTGGTACTGTTATATCGCTTAGTCTGGTCCTTAGACAGAGCCAATGAATTCAGCCGATCGGTACAGTCAAGCCACCACTAAATGACACTTTAACGACGCATTAACCCACCAATCCATTCGACCACGTAAACTGTTTGAATCAGATCCCGATCGGTCTGGTTATCGTTATCAGTTGTATTGCAAACTTGAACTTTGTTTGAGTATTTCTTCAATTCGTTTAAGTGCATTCCAATCGGCCGATAATAATCCCTTGTGACCGGA